GGGTTGGAAGCACCAAGCAGGGGCTCTGGGGCAGGTTGCTTGCCAAGGCTTGGTGTTACTGAAGGAGGGAACTGAATCTGGAGCTGGACATTGCTGGCTCCAGGTTGGGGGGTGCCGGGTGGAGGTGAGAGGTTGTGGGAAGAGTTTGGGGGGCAAGGGGCAAGGCAGGAGGTGGGAGGCACAATGCAGCAGGCGGAGGTTGTGGGATGGGGTTGGAGATGAGGGGCAGGGCTTGAGCGGGGTCGGGGGTGGAGTGCCCGCGTGCGTACCGAGGTGAAGACCTCCGTGGTCTGCTGGATGGTGGCAATCTTGGTCCAGCCCCACTTCTTGAAGAGCTGGACGCGCGTGGGGTTGTGCAGGGTGGCCGAGGGGTGGGTGCGGAAGAAGGTGGGGAAGCGCTGGCGGTTGGATAGGGCTGGGGAGCTCGAGCCGTACGACAGCTGCAAGGCAGGGGGTAGAGAGGAGCTGTGAGTACCGAACAGCCGTCCCTACCCCTACAGCCACGCGCATCTTCCTGCCCTGACATGGGGCAGCAATCACTTCGCACCAGAGGACAACACAAGGACAGAAACCGCTCGCTCTGGAGACATCCTTGTCTACCCCCAAGCTCACAAACAACTGGACACAAAACAACCGTCAGCAGCTGCAACGTGAGCATCTCAATGCACACCACTGACAACTGTACGCGCGCTGACAACGGCTGCTGAGCTGGCAACAGCAACACAAGCCAGGAATCACAGCACAACAACGGCTACTACACAGGTGCGGGCATCACCGCAAACATGCTGGCAACAAGCCCACATGAGAGCCAGCAACAACCAGGCATGTGGCAACAACCAGACGTGACAACAACCAGACATGCAGTAAGGACAGCAAATGTAGGAACACCTGCATGCCCAGCAACAGCTGCTCATGTCAACAACGGTTCATCTGGCAACAGGTACACACGTGGCAACAGCTACACATGGAGCAACAACCTCAAAGCAACAGCCACACACATAGCAACAATTGCATACACAGCAGTAGCTGCCTGCCCAGCAATATTTGCACATAGGACAACAGTGCAGTAATCGTAACAGCCACAGCCTCAGTGACAATTGTAGCTACAACCGTGCAGACAGCAACAGCTGTACTTTCCTCCATAAATATCTAATCTCATCTCTGTGCATGTGTGTGTGATGGCACACACATGCATGCACACCCAACCACTTCCTCACTGTGAAGCAAACACAAACACACTAGCAGCTACACCCTGAAACAACCACCCCTCACATACACCCTGATAGAACCGCACACACTGCTGCTTCACTGCCAGTGACCACCAGACCCTAAGAGAACTCCTACCACCCTGTGACAACTCACCACTGTCACTACAATGCACTCCCCACTCCCGCAGAGATGCAACCCAACCCCAACACCCCATGTCCACATCAACCCCTAGTCCAGCAAGGTACACCCTGGCAGAGAACAGGTCTCCAAGCTTGGCTGTGCCAGCTTCTACCCTGCCTTGGTCTCCACCTGACCTGCTGTTCCCTGGGGTAAATCCCAGCAAGATGGGAGCAGAAGGCAGGAGCCAAGGCGGGGGGTCACCCACCCTCGTCCCCCCGTGTCCCTGCTGGGGGTTGCTCCTCACCACGATGAGGTTCCACATGCGGGCGGCCTCGGCCACCAGCGTGGAGACGCTGCTGCAGCCAGGCATGAGGATAATCTTGATGGGATCGTTGTAGAGCAGCTCGTAGAGATACTTGGTGGCCTGGCCCGGGTCACACTGCAGGGGACGGGGGAGAAGGGGGCAACGAGGGTCAAGCGGCTGCTGGGGACCCCCATCTACCCCCTTCCCCTGGTCCAGAGCCATGGTAGACCTCCATGCTCCCAGCCCAACTCCTCCCAGTCTAACCCACAGACCCCAGCAGCTCCTGGAGAACCCAGGTGTCCAGGCTGTCCCCGCTTGCACCCACAGACCCTACCATCCCAAGGGGACCCAGGTGCTGGGGGTTCACCCTGCTTGGACCCATAGACCCCACCGTCCCCAAGGGGACCCAGGTGTCCGGGCTCCTCCTACAGCTTTGCTTGGCCCATCAGCCCAGGGGACACAGATGTCCTGGCCCCAGGGGGTGCCTGCCTGGATGCCCTGCTCCTTCCGGGCGCCTATGAATAATTCAGGGCATGAAGGCCCAAAAAAGGAGCCAGGCACCGTCACCATGGCAACCCAGTGGCA